AGGCATATCTTTCACCCACCCCCAAAAAGGGAAAGAAAGACAGTCTGGGAAACTACAGGTTGAATAGTCAGCATTGCTTCAATCCCAAGGAAAATCATAGTGCAAATTCTCTTGGAAGCCATTTATGAGATTAAAGAAAAGAAGGTGAGGGTGAGTTAGAATAGATTTAGCAAAGGTGTATTGTGCCTGACCAACCTGATTGCCTTCTTCAATAAAATGACAATGTGTCTTGTTAATGGTTCACACTCTATTTTGATGCTAGTTGCAGTTGGAGTTTCTCAAGGGCTTATCACAGGATGTCTTTAACTGTCTTTGTCAATGACCTGGAGGAGAAGGAGTGCACAGTCTTCATATTTTCAGATGACATGAAACTAGGGGGTGCAGTTGATGAATTGAGCTGCCATATGGATAGACTGAGATAGGCTGGAGAAATGAACTGACAGGAACCTCATGAAATTTAGCAAGGAAAAATACAAAGTCCTGCACTTATGATGGGCTTAATTCACTGCCCCTGTTCAAGATGGGGAACAGCTCTGCTGGAAGAGAGCTAAGGTCCCACTGAACAGAAATCTGAAGGTGGTCTGAGTACTACACTATGGCAGCAGTGAAGGCCAACAATATCCTGGGCTGTATCAGTAGCAGTATAGCCAGTAGAGCAAGGGAAGTAATTATTCCACCTTTATTTGACACCTATTAGACTATATCTGGAATGGCACATACAGTTTTGCACTCCACGTTACAGGAAGGATGTTAAAAGTCTTCAACAAGTCTTAGAGAGTGCCACCAAGGTTGTAAGGGTTGGAGCACATGCTTTTTGAGGAGAAACTGAGAGAACAAAATTTGTTCGGCCTGAACAAGAGACAGCTTCTGAAGCATACCTAACCTTGTAAATTCTACAGAGAGGTTGTCAAGACTCTTTAAGATTAGTGAGGGCAGATTGAGAAACTGGAGTCAAATTAAAGCAGAGGAGGTTCTGACTGGATATAGGGGAGAAAAAATAGCTATGGAAGTAATTAAGCTGAAAGAGGTTGTGCACCCACCCCTGGATGTTTTTGAGATGAGACTGGATAAAGCCTTGAGTGACTTCGTCTGAGAGCACATCTAACCCTACTTTGAACAGATGGACTATAAACATCCTGAGATGCCTTCCAGCCTGGGTGATGCTGTGATTCCGTAGACTTACTAAAATTAATGTGCATAGCACTCCTATGCAGCACTTGCCTGAACATTTCCCAACAGTCAAAAGTTAAGGATTCTTCCAAGAATACACTCCACCATTTTTCAGTAAACAAGACATTATTGTTTTGTTTTCAGTAAGCTGACTACACAAAGACAACAACATGATGTTGAGATAAAAATAATTTTTACATCTGTTGCTTAATTTGTCCTCCAGGAAAGTTATCTAGGCCTTCCTAGATTGGCCTTCTTATCTGTTGGACTTATAGCTGTGAAGATGTGATAATAGTTTCAGTTTATGTTAGAAAATTAGAAGGCAATTTAGGAGAACTGGAAATTCCTATTTCAGATAGTTTTTGTTGGTTAACAAAGAAAACCAGTGTTGTAGGCTAGATAATAAAAACACTTGATTAGAAGCCTGCATGTCATACATGCTGAGCCACTGCAGTTTCCACTAATTTCAGTGGAGTTGGAGCTGCTGCTTAGGTCTGAAAATAAAGCAAAAATTTCCAATTTGTTGCTTGCACATGTGAATATTTATTATGGAGTTCTTTGGTATTTCACACACCAAGGCAAATGAGATTAGAAGGTATTTAGAATCTCTTGAATTTACATAATTTTTGTTTATCACCTATCATATGAATTCAGCTGGTGGGAAATAGACACACAAGGAGATTTAGGTAAATGGACAAAATGTTGCAAGTCTGGAGATTCTTATCCATAAGTTATACCTATTGGCAATAAATTCTTGACAGGAATATTATCTTGTAATATTCCTTCGTCCTTTGAAATATTTTTGTAAAAGGTACCTGATAATAATTCTTATTTGCTGTTAAAATATCTTTTCTGTTTTATGAGTTTCCATAAGGTATTTTAAAAGGTTTAATTTTACAAATAAAAGTACTTGGTTTGCAATTTGTTCAGTCTGTGTTGGAACTCTTTTGAACACTGACTGTCAGTAATTTGATGGGTTATAGGAAATAAGTAGATGTCTTAGCCAGACTTGAAAATTATTATTTTTTTTAATATGCATGGTTTTCAATGTGGCCTAATGATACTTTTTAATTCTCCCTAATTCTGAAATGCTAAATTCTTAAGCTAACCTTAATGATTGGTATCATTTAAATTATTGCAAAATCATTGAAGGCTTTTAGTTCTCTGAAACTGTGCTGAATTGTATGGGCAAGTTAATCTTCCTCTAGTTATAGACATGAATATTAATTGTACCAGAAATAGCAGAAATTGTCTCACTGTAAAGGTTCATGTTTGTTTTCTTTCAACTGAATTTAAATTTTATCAGACAAAACAGATTCTGAGGCAATAGAAACTGTTCATATTCTCATGCCTTGCTTTGAATGCCTGTTTTTTATTTGTTTTTGATTTGCCTGTGGTGCTATTAAATACTACATTGCCTTTGTTTATTTTATTTATGTTCAAACAGAGGAGGAATATAATTGAATCCAACCAGTGAAGTTTTTCAGCAAGGTGGTCTTTGCTGAAGAGTTTCTTCTACCTAACACTGAGCAGTATAATTGACAAGTCATCACTGAAAAATCCATGTTCAAATTCAGCCTTCAAGCAAAAGAGGCAGAACTGGGAATTACAAATTCACGATTTACATTCAAATTCACAATTTGTATTTGAATTTCAAGTTCAAATATACCAGGCTGAGATCAGTCCTTTAGATCTGCTCATCCTTCAGGGTATTGTGAATGAGGTGCCAAAGGCATTACGTGCTCTACATGAAACATTGCACTGAATCTGCCTGCCTGCCAACCATAGGACATAGACATCAGTCCAAGACTTTTTACTCTGCACTTGTTACTGTAGCCTGGGGAATTCTAATACATGAAATTACAAGTGTAGCTGGTCATTTCTTAAAAGCTGCTGCAGTTTAAATCACTATTTCTTAAGTGAACATTTTAGAAGCCAGAATAGGCCATGTAAATTGCATTCCCAAATGTTTCAGCTTGTGACTGGGTGACTGCTGAGCAATGGAAATCACATTTTCACAAGTGAAATGCATGGGGAGAATTAGGGAGTGCTCAATGTGCAGCTGGTAGGTAGCCCATAGGGACCTAAGGCAAGAAGGAGCAACCAATCCTCCTTATTAAATGATTCCTACTCTGCACTCCCAAGGCTGAGTCATCTCTTTCTCACAGAAAAGTCATCAAATTTGTGCAGCTATAACAGTGACTGAAAAACTTGCTCCATAGTCCGTGCTTACAAATCTCCCTAGTATCTGATGCAGTGCTAGAACTCAAACCCTGACCTCCCACTTCCAATGATACACTGGATAAGCATGTCATTTCTTTTATATTGTTTTTTAACCAACACCCTGCTGGCTGTTTTAAGGGAGTGTCTCTCAGTTTCTTTTCTTGACATTGTTCTGCTTTGTCTAAATATTTCTGAAAGCAGATGAAATAGCTTCTGTAACATGCCATAGTCACTGGTGGATATGTCCTGCTCTGTGGTATATGAGATGCAGATTTAAGATCAAGCACCATGTTAAACTGAACAGGGGTTTGAACTCAAAAGGTAGCACAAGTCCTCCCACAAGTCCACCCACATCCTCTCCCCTTCTTTGACCCAGGTTTAGGAAGGATCTGGAAGTGCAAAGAATTTTCTCAGACTGTAGTCAAAGAGGAAGGCGAGTATTTTCTTTGAGGCTCAGGCAAGAGTTTAGACATTAGCTAAGAGGTCTTGACAACATGGCTGCTCCAGGAATGAGGCGGGTGTGTCCGTGCTGGTAGTGTTGTTTTTTGCCATGGTGAGATTAGGAGACGCTTAATCTGTGTTTGCAGTACAAATTACAGTGTGACAGCCATCTGATCATCTGAAATTTCCTTTGCGTTTTCTTATAGTGATAATCTGAAATGTTTATCCCATATCTAAAAAATAGTATATTTTTAGTCAGCAACTCTGATCACTCATTGAGATTTATATATTAAAATTTCACTCAGGAAGTCCTAATGAAATTAAAAGTAGGTAGTTTTTGGTAAAAGGTAGTACTGTAAATGATCTAAAATTCCATGACCAGAAAATTTGCAGACAAAATTTTCATTAAATTACATACTGTCTTCATTAATTCTTGGACGTGCAAGATGAGAATCTGTGAGTGAGAATACCTGGTGTTGTGAGCAGAGGGAAGTGTTTAATTTACATTATTAGTGAATGCATGAAGATTCTCCCTCAGCTTAAGACCATCTTTGTTTAAAGTTGTACTGTAAGAAGAGAGTTGGTTTCTGACATGAAGTTGAAGCTTTAATCAGACACACTCATACAAACAAGACTTTGGCCCAATGAGTCCTTCCTGAGTTCATGGCTTATTCTTTATGGAGGTGTGCTGCTTGCAGAAGAAAAGTGTGAGAAGCATATTGGAACATTATGGCATTCCAGGTAGAAACAAGTACAAAATGAGCTATGTAAGTTGAAGGAAAAAAAAAAAAAAAAAAAAAAAAAAAAAAAAAGGAGAAAAAGCAAAACATGAAAAATAAATCAAAATGTAGTTTTAAAATGTAGTTTTAAACATTTTTGTGTCCTGAATGCTGAATGTAAGGGTTTGGTTGAATCAGTCTCAAATGTTCCACTGCAGTAATGCCAGGAAAAACATAATTTATTTATTTATTCATTTTATTTGGGAAACTGGGAATCATGCTTTTGTAATCACACATACAACCATGCAGCATTAAGCAGGAAGTCATGTGCTAGCAGTCCTCTGAGGTTTGACAAATCAAATTGGAGGGGAATGGTCCAGGGGAATGAAAAGCTCATACTACCAAGTTAAAGCTGTGAATATCTCCCCCTTGATGGTATTCACACAGGAATCAAGGGAAATGTGTAGAGGGCATGGTGGAAATCTTTGACATGCTGCTGGCTACTGCTGCTCGGTTTCGCATGATGAACCTTCAAGGGGAGGAATTTGTGTGCCTTAAGTCCATCATCCTGCTCAATTCTGGTAAGTGGTGTGCTTTGCTGTCACTCGGGTAATTGTCATTGCTTCTGCATGCAGTTTGAGTGCTGCTTGCTGTCTCTGGTGATGTTTTCATTTTGAGGCAGCAGCAACTGAAAGTGCTATCAAGATATATGGGCAGAACCACCAGGTAGGGATGAAAGAGGGCAAATCTGGTCAGTGGTGTGGATTGGACCCAGCAAATTAACATGACTAGAGGTTGATACACTGCATGCAGCTGGCTTGGAGGACAATTGGAGCACTGTGTTGAACTAGGAATTGGTAGGTCTTGTTAAAGTCCTGATTACAAGGCACTGAGGTAGCTGGAGCCACACTGCAGGCATCCAAAGGCAATACTTAGTTATAACCAGGGCCTATGCTTTCCTTTTTTTGTTTTTTCTTTTTTTTTTCTTTTTTTTTTTTTCTTTTTGACAATGGCAAAATGAAGGGAAAGAAGGAAAGAATGGCAATGATGTAATTGAGATTATCATGATTGTTTATGTTAAAATACAACCACCTAATACTGGTGCCAGCAATTTATACTTCCTTTATATTTGATGAAATTATTTTTAGGCTGTAAATCTCATTCTAAATAAACTTAAAATAAATAAATAAATAAACAACTAGACAACAAGCCTAGCTATAGATAAAAATACCTGAAGTTATCTGATGAATTCTTCATCACATCATTGAAATAAGTAAATAACAGTTGAAGAGTGTGGCAGAAAGTTTCTGTTGCACAACATTCTTTTTTTATTATCATTATTTTTTTCTGGAGAAAAATCTCCAGACAATTCATTTTAGATGCAGAAATGAAACCCACAACATCCTTATAACAACGATAGAGGTCTAAAATAATAATGTAGGCACCAAAGGCAAAATTTTAGATTCAGTTCCCTGCTAAGTTGTTATCTAATGACTAAAAATGCCAAAGTTTTCCAGCCCTGAGGATTTACTTGTTCTCCACTTTTCCTGCTGTGTTTAAAATTGTAGACAGTATCAGCCTCCAGACAAAGCACATGTGGAGAGCTGTGTGTCTCTTTTATCCTGTAGTCTAGCAGACCACTTGCTCAAGTTGCATGAAATGCAAAATCAATTAATTCTTATCAGAAGGTGATTCTAATCACACCAGACTTTGTCATACCATTCAGTCACTTAGTCCTTTATGGAAACAACCCGATCTAAATAAAATAAATAAATTAATAAAGCAGAACTATTTACTTATATAACCATATACATGTATAAAATAGTCCAATTAAATTCTATGAGATATTAATATAGTTCAGATTTTATTGCCACTAATTACCAAAAATTGACATCTGAGGCAAGCACCTGACATATTAGATGAATGAAGAGCTATTGTTTTTATCTTGGATGCCAAGGTGGGATAATTGTAATTAAATACATTTTGAGATTTTTTTTTTTCCTTTTGTTGTCCTGATAATTGTAGGAGACTATTTACTAAAGTTAAATGCTCTTCCAGAAAGGCAATGCTGCTCCAGATTTTCAGCTAATATAAGCAAATGTGATTATCTTCTTAAATAAATCTAGTTCTGAATTAGAACTAGAAAATACATAGAATTGGAAATTTGAATGAAATGTGTTAGAGGTACAAGTTTTGAATGTGAAGTCCTTGAGTCATAATGTTAAGAGTTTTTGCCCCACTTCTGTATTTAATATGGATCCAGAAAAATAATGTTGTTATTTAGACATAGCCCTGTCAGGCACATCCTTTGTAAGCACATCTCTCTTCCATTAATGGTGCTTTCTGTTTCAAGATTTCTCTAGGAAAAAATTGTAAAAAGACCTGCAGCCAGTACATCCAGTAATAGTAAGAGGCAGACTTCCTTCTGCCCGTAAGAGAGATGGGCCCACTAGGCAAGGCTAGGAGCTATGGATCTTCACTCCTTCAAGGTTCAGGACCACACTACAGGTTTGAAATGATGGTGTTTATACGGTAGAAGGTCAGAGCTGATCTGATGTTCTGGTGAATGATCTGATTTAGAGTGTTTTTATTTATTTGTATGTTTATTTATTACATTAAATAAAATTTTATATTTGCTCAGAAGGCTGGCATTTTTACAAGAGCTTTGGTGATGATGGTTCAGAAGGAATAGCTCAGGCTAAGCTGTTACAGGTTCGTGATGAAAACAATTTATACCATTGTTACATGGATCATCATGCGCTACTCTGGTTTGCATACTGCACTCATTGTAGTATTTCTGAGTACACTGTAAACTGAATGTATACATAAATACGGCCACAGAATGTATGCCTGTATTGATTTTCACTGACTTTATGCATAAGGGTAATTTTCTATTTCTGTTTTTACATTCCTTTAATCAAAGTATTTTATAACTGTCAGAGGAGTTAACTACAGGATGGTCGGAATGTGGGCACAAGCTTCTGAATGTTAGATCCCTTTTAGGAAGCTAGGTTGCATTACAGAGGCAGAGAAATAGGATACTTTGGGGTATGTGTAATATCTGTTTAAGTGTTGTTTGGCATAGATATTCTGAAATGACTTCTGGAGATGCTTTACTTCATGAAATATAGCCAGCTTCCCTGAAGCAAAGTGCTGGACACACGTGAAATATTATGTGCTTATGTGCTCCGAAGCACACATTGTATGTGATCTATGAGGAGAGGCTGAGAGAGCTGGGTATATTCAGCCTGGAAAAGGGAAGGGTGAGGGACAGCTGTCCTCAGATAGCTTATGAGCAGGTTACAGAAAAAACAGGGAAAGACTTTTCTCGGAGGTGAGTAGAAAAAAATTCCTTCCAGTGAGAGAGCTTAAGCACTGGAACAGGATGGCCAGAGAGATGATAGGATCTCCATCCTCGGAGATGCCAAAACTCAACTGAGCAACCTCTGGGCAGGTTGATCTGACCCTGAAGTTACTGCTATTTGAGGAGGACAAACCTCCATTCTAGACTACACTTTCTCTAAGGTTGCACATATATATATACACAAATCTTTTACTAAAGAAACAGCAGATATACACAAAATGATCTCTTCATCTCTGCTATTTGTATTATATACACATATGATTAAATCAACTGATCTTAAAAGGTTTAAAAAAAATCCAAAACTGAATTGCACTAATTATGCTACACTTCATATTTAAAAGCATTCTCTATTTGCATTCTAAAAGTCCATGTGGAGTTTATTCCCCAAGTGTACACAAACATTTCGTTGTTAAATCCTTGGATATGTTAGTCTTTCCGCATGAGGCAGGGCTGTTTGCTTTCGCTGGACCTTTATTATTATTATTTTTATTTTTTTTTACAGCATCTTTCAAGGCTGTTTAATATCTTTCTACTGCTTTTCCATGTGGTCTTAACATTTTTATTTTTTTATTTTTATTTTTATTTTCCCTCAGTGTGTGTGGAAAAGATGGAAGGTTTTGTTTATAAAGCAAAATATACATTTATGCTGCTTCCAAATTTTTCCTGAGATATCAAGGAGACAGCATGTCTGTAACAACAAGGACAGCACTGTCTTCAGCTAAATAACAAAACCAAAGGTGCCCCTCTAAAGCTGCAGCAATGTCTTTTGACTAAAAAGCAAAACTGGATTTTTGAAAACCACGTTCAGCTCAATAACAGAATGCCGTTTCTTACGAACATTCATGTTCTAAGAAACATGAAAGGGCAACAAAATGCCAGATGTTTTACTTTTGGGTAATCATCTCTTCATTTTGGAGACACAGATTTTGGTCACATCTTCCTTAGCAGCTGATTTACTTAGTTTGCTGATAAGTCCACAGAGATGGTAAGATTTTGCTGATTTTATGTATCCTGTAAAATTCCCTGATGCATCATTCCTGTGACTGTTATTTTTTTGATTTTCCCTTCTCATGTAGAATTGTGCTTTTAATTGATTTCTTTATTTTGATGGTGGAGAATTACATGAGTGCATTGTACAGAGCTGAACTTGCTCTTTGCTCAGCCTGACTTGATACAGATACAGACCGATGGGGCTTGATAGAAGGGAAAAAGACCCTTGGGTTGTTTTGTGAGAATGAACACAATGTAAATATGTTTTAAACCAGGATTTATTGTGATAGAAAATATTTAGAGGACGTTTTCCTCTACAGCAATGCCTATATCAGTGTATATAGCAATACTTGTATATAGCAAAACTTTACCATGATATACCAATAACTGGCACAGTAGCACTGCAGTCCCTGAGGAAATCTGTGTACATAGTTTTTTGTTTGGGCACAGCCTTGTAGGCTTTGCTTTTTCACAGGGCAGTGCAGTCTCTAGTCTCTCTCCTATGATGTTTTACAATAATGACACAAGCTGGAAAACCAACCGGTAGCTATTCAATTCTGCTCTCGGCTTTCTGTCTGCTTCAGAGCTTGGAAAGACCTTTGAGACTGTTAAATTTCACTTTGCTAAGACAATTTTTCTGCACTCTTGTTTCAAAACTCTGCTTGTGAGTGTGTGTCTATGATGGATATCTGGTATTTCTTTTGGGGAAATTTCTGGTCATTGGCCTGAGGCAGGAGCAGTCATTTGGGGTAGAAAGCAAAACCAATTGTCATTTTTCTTGGCAGCTATTGATGGGCATTTGCCTGAAGTCTCTTCATTTTGGGGGGAGTGTTTTTTGTTTACTTTTGATTTATACTTTTTAATAGCTTCTGGAGTTATCCAGCTGAGAAAAACCCCAAGAGCTGTTTCTTTACATTGAATTCATTTCAGTAAAAATAACAATCATTGAAAGCTTTGTGAGAAAAGAGGCCATTGTACTATCTGTCTATATAAAATTCGAAGCAATAGTCACTACCAAAATAAAGGGCTCTGACTATTGGTTTGCAGAAGCTGTGCTGTATTTCTGTTGCCCTTTTGTTTTGTTTTTGATTTTGAACAGTCTCTCTCTCACATATACACATACGCACAAATTTATGTTTCATTTTAGAGCAAAAGACCAAAGTCGTAAAACCTACTTACAGGTTACAGTATTTCTAGGTACTGGGTCCTTGACATACCAGGATGATATGAGGATGTGAGACACATCACAAAGATGGCTAAAAAAAAATAAAAAAATAAAAAAAAATAATCTCAGTTCCCTGACTGCTCTGACACATGAATAAATATGCTTATCTTCAAATCTGATGGCATAATGCCCAGCTGCAAACAGTACAAACAAGCTGGAGTACATGTGTTACTGTGTGTGTGTGTGTTATAGTGCATTTTTTTTAATTATTATTATTTTTTAATATCCCTAACTGGATTGCATATTTTGCTATATATGATGCTGTAAAGAAAAACTAAACGAATAGCAATTCCATGAACCATTTTTTTTTCTTTCCAGGGACCAAAAACAAACAAACAAATAAACCCCCCACAAATTACTTCTTGGCTATGTATGTTGATGCAGAAAGCATAAAACACAGGATTTATCAAGTACTTTATGGAGACAAGTCAATGAAGGCAGGTCATGATCAAGCCTGTTTGATTGTATCATCATACATACTTCTTAACCTGTTGCTCACTCAAGGATGGATTATACTAATACAAACTATCTAGAGTTATAAGATCAATCCAGAAAATTTAAAAAGTAGTTCTGAAGGCAACAGCCGCCATTTGGTAGCATAGTGCTACTGTGACATGCTTCACATTTGTTGTGTTTTCCTCCAGAATGAAGTCCAGGTAAAAAAGTGTAGAATAGTATAGAACTTCCAAGGGAGAAATCTGATGTGTTTCATGTACCCAAGAAGCTGCTACTCACAGAAAATAGCTTTTTCTAGGTGTAGAGGGGCTTGCTGGAGGGGGATGGTTTGATCTCTGGAAAAATTTCCTCTTGGTCCAAATCTTTCACGTAGTTCAATTTCAAGAAGCCATGAAAGATGGTTATATTGAAACGGGTTTCAATATAGCCAACCTAGTTGGTTGAGAGGGTCTTGTTGAGGCCAGTGCTAGTTTTATTTACATGTGTTGTAACATATTATTCAGTCCTAGATTGCCTAGCAAGTTATCAGAACCCAAACATTAAACAGCAGAGAAAATGGGAAAACCTGCTGACAGCCTGGGCTGGGTCAATCAGTATGGCAGAGTTCTCAAGTAGCAACAGCATCTCCTTCTTTTGGAGCTGCATGATCAAGAGAGGCGAGCAGCCTGAGGTCAGGTCTACCTCCAGGATATGGGTGACCCCTGCCACCCCTTGTTTCTGCTCTGTCCACAGTGACCAAATCCAGGCTTCAGGGTGGGATGAAAGTTGTCTCATGGCCAAGACTTTGTTCTTCATGTTTCTGTGAGCTGTTTAGTTTCCTTATTCTCTTCCTTAAATGAACGGATTAATTCCGTGTACAGCCCCCTAGATAATGCTTCTGTTGCCCAGCAGCCCTTTCTGGGAGATTTATTTTTTACCCTGTGCTTCTCTAAGCCACTCTTTCCTGCTTCCTGACTGTCACCACATCCTTCCCAACTGTCAGGAGATGAAAAGTTTATATGCAGAGGTGCCTTCCAAAGTAGGATGCTCACAGGCAGCTCCTATGGTTTAACAGAGCTGAAGAGGGCAGCCACAAGGTCTGACTCTATCAAAGTAATTTTTGCCTGTGGTTTGTTTGTTTTCTTTCTCCTCCCTACTCCAGGTGTGTACACTTTTCTTTCCAGCACCTTGAAATCCCTGGAAGAGAGAGACTATATCCACCGTGTTCTGGACAAAATCACAGATACTCTGATACATTTAATGGCTAAGTCAGGTCTTTCCCTGCAGCAGCAGCACCGGCGCCTGGCTCAGCTTCTCCTCATCCTCTCTCACATCAGGCATATGAGGTGAGAGCAAGCACAAGGTTAGGTGCAGGGAGGTTTCACAAATGCACAGGTGTGCTTGTTGTTCTTTTATTCATGGAGTGAGTGCAAACTGTGTGCATTATATAAAAGATAGATCATTGTCCTCTTTCCATAAGTATATATGGAGCTTGTGCACAAAACAGTATGCTGGATTATGGTGTGAGAGGGGTAAACATTTTCCCAATTTGTATCTTCTTCTTCTTCTTTTTTTTTTTTTTTTTTTTTTCTTTTCTTTTACTTCTAGCTTTGACAGTGCCACTGTCTGCTTTTAACACTATGTGCCTTGTTATTCCGTTTGAAAGGTATCAAGCAGATGAAAAACAATGTAACAGCAGCCTAATTCTACAAATTCTGGTTTCCTTTAAGATAAGATTTAATAAAACTCTTGCTTTTATATAGCCACCTCTCACAAGTGGCTTGATTGCAAATCACTTTAGAAAAGATATTATTATCATTATACGTATCTTATGGGTGAAGATAAAATGCAGATCTTCTGAGTCCCAATCTAGAGCACTGTGCCCTTTGCTAATTAGAGGTGAAGTGCCTGAGGCATTCAGTTTGTTGGTAGTCTCAGCAGTCATTTCCCTAATGTAATTACCTCTTAAGGTAGCTGCTCACTAGCTGGAGTGTGTGCAGCATGACAAGCCTATACAAAGACACAGTAGATATTTTAGTTTTATTAAGTAATAAGAGACATTGCTGTTATAGAGATTTTAATTTTCATTATCTCAGTTAATAAAATTAAAATTATATTAATTACCACAAAGTAGCTAATGAAGCTGAGACATAAAGATTTTAAATACTAGACTGACATACAGACTTTCAGGAAAAAGCTAAGGGGTATGTGTTTTATATGTATCTTTTGGGGGAGTTTCTTTGTTCTCATGTTAATCACCATTTTGGTGTTTGTTTTCTTAAGAATTTGAACAACTAAGGAAGTTCAGATGCACAGTGAATTACTGTTTCTATAGTTTGCAAAGATAGCATTAACTCAAATTGGCCAAAAGGTTATTTTCTAGGAAAAAAAAAAAAAGTTCAATTATGGAAAACCAAGATTCATCCCAACCATGTAATCAAAGTGCCTAAATTAGGAGTCCATTCGCTCTTGGTCACCTCTTAGGCAAAAGAGAAAATAGCCACATTTTAAAAGACAATTGCTCATGGGCAGCCTGAATAGTTCTTTGAAGCTGACTTCTGCAAACTGTAGAAGGAGTGTGCATCAATTAAGCTGCTAAGTTAATTATTTTGAACAAGGTGGAATTTATTTGAACCCAACTATGATTAGCTGACAGCTTTTTTTTTATAGCACATTCAGAAAGTAACTGTTGTTTCATTAAAACCCACAGCAACAAAGGAATGGAGCACTTGTACAATATGAAGTGCAAAAACATAGTTCCACTCTACGATCTCTTGCTGGAGATGCTGGACGCTCACCGCCTGCATGCCCCAGCAGCCAGGAGTGCTGCACCAATGGAAGAGGAGAACCGGAGCCAGCTGACGACTGCATCAGCTTCTTCTCATTCCTTGCAGTCCTTTTACATAAACAGCAAAGAAGAGGAGAATATGCAGAATACAATATAAACAAAAGTCAGTATATATAATGGTATGAGAAACCCAGCAGCGTACTACCTAGCTCATGCTTCATTTCATCTGCAGTGCCACTCATGTAAACACTCCAATGACATCAGTAACCTGTATTTTCCATTTGAGTGTTTGTCAAGCGCTTGCCTAAATTGATTGCTTATTCTAATTGAAAGACGTTTCATTGCTATGGACAGCCAGCAAGGATTGGCAGGCTAACTTAATTTGAATTTGCAGTGTTTTAATTTATTTTTGCATGCAAGTTGGGTAAGTCCTAATATAAACTTAAGCCTCCATTTTACCATAAATTAATAGGCCATACCAGCCATGCATATTGGTATCTTCCTGAGTGGGAGCCTTTGTTGATATCCACCCCAAATTCTGAGCCCATTTAATCCTTGAATTGCTTGAAACTTTGAAGAAGTTTGGTAGATTCTGAATGAGTTTTAGTGAGGGATAATGGAAAGTTGATTGGCATTTAAGTGTGTCACAGTGAAACTGTACTGCTAGTGGCTGCCTTGGTAGTTTAGGTAGATTTCTGCCTCTCTTCTTCTTATAGTAGAAAGTACCCCCTTTCTTAAAATTTCTGTTTTGCCTTACTGGCTTACATCACCAGATAGCTCCCTTTCAAGATCATACTGACCAAACTTTTAGGTCCTTTTATCATATCTTCTAGCCAAATTGCATTGTGTGTATCCTATCCTATGAAGCTAAATTGTTCTGTTGCTCAGCAGTGTTTAAAACAAGGGCAAAATAGCAAGCAATGATAATATAGATAATTGCTCTTGAGTCAGATCACGTGAGTACAAAAACTCATCATGCCAGAAAAGAACCAACAACAAAAATTAAAGCTCACCTTATCGCACATACATTGTTTTATGAAAAACAAAACAACAAGAACAAAACCAAAAACTTTCCCTCTCCTTTGCTTTGTTGCGCTACAAACCAAGGGGTGATGACGTCATAAGACTGGCATAGGAGTGTGGGATCGTCCCATTCATGGCAGTCCTGCCTACCCGGACTGTTGAGGGCCAGCAGAGCCAGAACAGTAGGTTTTGCATTGGCTTTCTTCAGCTATTATTGGGGCAAACTCAAAAATCACTGTTAAGTTCCATCTCATCTGTGATATCAGAAGTGGACAATGTGTCTCAGGTACGGTGAAGGCTCCAGGACTGCATGCTCAGGTGAAAGGAAGGTAAATCTGGCTTTCTTCATGCTTGTGTGTAACAGTTCTTCATGCAGTTAGTTGGATTCTTCACGTCAACCATAAATATACAAAAGGTCCACTGACAGTAAGAATTTCCGCAACTCATGAAGGAGAGACACTGAAAAGAAGGACCGACCTATCCGTACTATAAACTGTCCAAAACAGGATTTGGTGCTGCTGTTTGACTGCCTCTAGGATAGAAAACTAAACATGTCAGGGAATGTTGCTGGGTACTGGAATGTGATTATTATATATGTTGGGGATGATTTATTAGTTTAATGATAATCTTTGCCTGTGATATCTGCATGTCTGGTTTTCAGGTGCAGTTTGAGAGTTAGCATGGACCACCAGGGACTAGTTCAATAGCTGGTTGGAAGTGACCACCTGTCAGCGAGGAAGTTCTATAGCATGTGTATAGGCTACTTCATGGCAGCAGGCCACAGTGCTAGAGGAGGGTTTGGGGATGCTTCTTTTACTACTATAGTCAATGTCTTTATGTTAGGTTATGCTGATTGGAATATCCTGTAACTAATTATAGGAAATAGTGTAACTAATGCGGTACAGGAGTGCCTACGTCTAACCATGCTCACTGTTAGACAAGCAGAAGTGAGTTTTCAGTGAGTTTCAGTTACATAGCAATTGTGAAGGCAGCAAGGCATAGGATGAGTTTGAGCTCCATGTCAAGGATTCAACTTTTTAGTGAGTGTAGATAACGATGTCCATAACAATTTAATGTACATATCTGAGGATACGTGCAGTTTAAAAGTCTAAAGATAGATGCTACCTACATGCTTGAGAAGATTCCTTGAAAACAGTGCAAGTCTGAATGTGTGAAGCAATCACTGTAAGTGAATAGGCCTTCTATTGATGCATATTATAGTATCTTTTTTTTTTTTTTTTCTGATGTGCTGAAGGAGTTGTATTTTTATGTATTTAGTAGAGTGTGTGTGTGTGTGTGCGTGTGTGTAAGTTCGGTACCTAAGGGCTTTTGGAAGGCTTCAAAATGCCTTGAAAAAAAAATGCACATTTTATTTTTGTTTGTTTTGTTTAGTAGCTGGTTTTCAAATGTGTTAGAAAAATCATGAATGCCCTGAAATGAGTGCAGGTTAAGATTTGAATGGAGCACAGGAATTCCTGTAGATACACTTAAGTACTTACATTGCCATTATTCACTTGTAGCCCAGTGTGCATTAGAGCTGCTTTTTCAATGCTCTGTGTGCAGCTTGTGTGTTCTCTATGACAGAACACATGGATCAAGCCTGTGGCTCATCAGCTGCTAAGAAAATTAGTTTAAATAAATGCCTTGCCTCCTACATCCAAGAAGAATTCATTGTATTGATTTAAGTGTAAATTTGGCCTCAAAGAAAAAAAAAATAGTTGATGGAGAGCAATCCACAACAAAGGTCCAGATTCTGATGGTATTTACATAGGTTAATACCAATGCACTCTACAGATTGTCCCAGTGAGGCTGGACAAGCATGATTTGGAGTGGTATGCAGCAGACAGAACAGTATCAAAATGTGGCTTGTAACATAAGAAATAATCAGTGAGTTTGCAGTTATAATTACAAATGTTCTCCTAAGTTGAGACCTGGCAATGAAGTTACTTAGTCAACCAGTCCCCCCGCATATGCTGCAGCACCACCAAGGGCATTCAGGAAAGAAAAAGAGTGATTGCCAATGATACATTCATTTACCTTGGGGCAGTTTCATGATCTGTGTCTTTAACTTGTTGATGATCTTTTATTTGAAGTAGCACCTTAACGAATATAGTAATCTTCCCATAGTTATCTATAAAGATGATTGTCCACATGCCAGACAGCTGAATGTAGCTCTTCAATGGATTAAACAAATTATATGCTATAAATGTGGCAACTTTTTTCATATGTAATTCTGAATTATGCTCTCATGTATGCAGAAAATTGTGCCTGCCATTTGGTAATTATTATTTCACAGGATGCTATTTCATGTGTATATATACATATATATATATACATATACATATATACTTTATATTTGCAGCTGACAAACCAGTACTACCTGAATACCTGGTGCTGGATATTAAACAAAAATATATAGCATGTAAAAAAAAAAAAAAATCAAAGAAAAATATTCAAGGCAGCTAATTATGCTTTTACCAAAACATTCATAGTGATGTCTCTGGACAGCTAATGAAAGAATTATTTTATAATGTTTATATGTGGATTTTTTTAAAAAACAAAAACAAGCAAACAAACAAAAAAATACCAACACAAGAAAGCCCTAGAAACATAGGCAATGTAATACCAGCATAAGCCAACTAGAACTAGACCAGATGAACTTGCTTTGCTTGAGAATATGGTTGTTGTATTACCAAAAAAAAGAAAAAAAAAAAAAAGAAAAAAAAGGAGGAGACAGGAGCAGAGATGATAGAGTGATGTGTAGCACCCAGTTGAATGAGTTTCCAACAATATTTGAAAGCTTCTCTGGTTTGTAGTGGTTCGAGCCATGTCTTCATCTTGCAGACTTTGTCTCAGGTAAAACTCCCAGTTGGGGTTAGTAGGATTTGTACTGGGGAAAAATATTTTAATGAGCGTTTCTTGGTGTGTATTTGTGGTAAATTTTTCTATTAGGTTTCAATGAAATCTCTTGATTATTTTTCTCCTTCTGTATAGTAAGGGTTTTAACAATTTAAAAAATATATTTAAAAAAACAAAACTGAAATGAGTTCCCATGGATATTGCAAGGACTGTTAGCAGGTCATTGGAACTTAAATTGGAGAAAAAGAAAAAAAAGAAAACTTCAACTGCCTCCACACCCCTACCCTCAAAACAGGATTTTAATTGGAATCCCTATCGACCCCAATTGAGGCTGACTGATTTGTTAAGTGTTGAGCTAAATGTTTAAAATGAAACAAACTACCAGCAATGTAAAAATTCTGCCTCACTAGGGTATGAGTATTACCACAGACTTTGCAATATGGCAAACCTATCTTGTATATATAAAATGCTACTTTAAAATTAGCATGCAAGCCAACCTAAAGCCAATGGGATTTTATATATAAGGTATTCTAGCTGAATTTATGTGAAGTGCATTTCTTTCCCCAAATAAAGAGATGGCCTTTTTCAATCCTATTTGCAACCATAATATAGTTTTACAGACAGAAATTCAGCATATCTAAAGGAAGGGTCATGTTACCAATGGTATTGTAATACAAACCAGTCTTTGCTGCCACCTGCAACTGTAACATAATCTCAAATTAATCTGAGAATTTTAAATTAATATTTCCCTAACATTAATGTCCTACCCTTTCTACTTACAATTCTCTTTCATCTTTCAAATGTAGATAGCCTTATACCCTGATAATTGTTTTCAAAATGATTGTTGCCCAGAGGGGTATTCCGTTTTCCATCGTGTTTAAAAAAAAAAAAAAAAAAAAAGCTAAAAAAAAATCTTTTGCATTCAGATGTGCCTAAACAAATAAAACTAAAATGTATATGCTGCCATCTTGCAAATTAGTATGCTCTGTACTCCTGTGTGCCTATAATTATATGTCTGTTTCTTCAGAAAGTGCCCATTGGAAAATGAAGGGATAGACTGCTGGTCATGAGACTTGCATTAACAAGCCACTTTATGTATCACCTTATTGTATATAAAACTAATGCTTTTGTGTGCACTATGTAGTCTGTCAGTGGAAAGCCCTTTCTTTGATATAGGCTCAGATGCCATAATGTATTTGTTGAAGTATTCTGTTCTTTCACTGATGCATATGAAATTATTGATGTCTTTGTTTTGGTGAGTTTTTTTGTTTTATTATTCTTTTTTTTTTTTTTTTTTTCCTCTTTCTTTCTTTGTTTTGCACCTAAAAACTTACAGAGTCTAAATGAAAAATTTGATAGGCTACCTGGATGGTGCAAGATTTTCACTGTATTTGATGTCAAAATAAAGAATTAACCAGAGAAAATTATTTCATTTGTTATCATTTACATAGTTTTTTTTTTTTTTTTAAATCTGTTCCTCTACTTATTGTTTTCCAGTAACTAGCTAAATGATACGTAATATACATGATATACATGTACACATGAAACCTCACCCTACAGCTTTTCAAGCATGAATGCAAATTTATAATCCCATAGGAAGCTGGGGTTTGTTGGGCTTTAAATAGTAGCTGACCAATAGTTCCCAATAGTTCAAAATCATGACTTTTGCAATATGCTTCCATGGTAAATAACTTGACTGAGAGTTGCTACTTTGGCTACCAGTAGTGAGCCAGAGTAATTTGAACAAATTGCACCCATACATGTGCTCAGAGTAATAAGATTGGTTTAAATGCAGACTCACAAGCTCACAAAATTCAAGGGCTTTATACAATTTTCTATCTATTGGACCAAATGAACACTTAGGTCAAATGCCCCTATAGTTCATGGAGAACTGGTTAACGATGACTGCTTCGCTATGATTCTCAATTCACAGGTCCAATCCACAGAAGCAGCTGAAACACAGAATACTCCTGTAAAATCAAAGACCCATCACTGTTCATTTAAAAACCAAACAGTATAAGTCTGAGCATATTTATACCTGCCTAAATCATACCAATTTGAAGCATCAAGACAGTGCATAGCACCTGAGATTAGGCAGTCCTTTCACCACCTCTTTCCAGAGCACAACATGACCATACAGAATCACAGAACAGGAGAGCTGGAAAGGCACTTCTGGAGATTGTCTAGACCAACACCTGGCTCAGAGCTGCATCACATGCCATGCATATGCTGTTCAGTGCCATATCCAGTTGAGTTTTGATTAGCCACAACAGGAGACTCTACAACCTTTCTGGGCAACCTGATCTGGTGTTTGACCACCCCTGCAGAAAGAACAATGACGACAAAAAAAGTGTTTTGCCATGTTCAGATGGAATTTCTTATGTTTTAATTTGTGCTTGTTACTTCTGGTCTTGATGGTGTGCACCACAGTGAAGACCCTGGCTCAGTCTTCATTCCCTCCCATCATGTGTCTTTTGTGACGGAAGCTGGTGGATGTCAACTTGCTTCACTCTGTCACAGGAAAAATCCACCAGGAAAAGGGACTCTGCTGTCAGGTACTGGGCACATGTCCCCAGCCGGGAGCCAGCCTCATTCCTGATTTCTTATGTCTGTTGGCTGAAGTCATGTGAGAAATTAGGCAGTAATGACAAATTGTTTCTTGTTTCACTGAAGAACTCTTGCAGCTGAAACTCCTAGCTCACCTTTACTGGTCTTACCACTCTTCTTCCCTCACCACATACACAAACCTTTGCAGAACAGATGACTTCTCCAAAGGTTGTTCCCGTGGGGGAGCCCATGTACATGCACACAGCCACCTTCAGTGGGCTCCCTGCCACACACTTGCTTCCTCTCTTTCCAAATATGTGAGTGATGTGTGTCTTGGTCTGGCATATTTTATTCCATTTAAGTAATTAGAAAGGTTAATGCATAGTTAATGCATAACTGAGGAACATACCTGATGGCTTTTACTTTTCTGTCAATTAAGGCAATCTCCTTAATATGCAATGTTAAGAGCTTCTTCACAGGCTACAGCTTGGTGTTCTCAGTCAGACAGCCGAGACAGAGCATGAAGCAAATGCAATAAACATACAAATAAAATAAATAGATTCAATTATACATGTTGCAACTGTAAAGACTATTCTTAAAAATTAAATGATGAACTTGTTCTTTTCATTCAGATACTGCTGCATTAAAAGCCCCATGGAAAAGCTCTTCCTTAGGCTGGCTAAGTCTTGCATCTCTTTGCTCATTGTAATAACATTATCTCCTCTACCCAGGCAGTGGAGAAAAAAATCCAAATGTAAAAAAGACTTAGCAGCAGTGTGCACAGAGAAAGTATGCCAGCATAAGGGCACTGCTTACATGGTCTTTCTTATGCCCAGTCAGCCTCCAATTACTATTATTCGCCATGATATCCTGCAGATACAGAAGCCTAAATGTAAAAATGCACATGAAGTCTTCAGGACCATTGACCATCAAAATAATAACATTTGGCACTTATCTCACCAGAGACAAGCCTAACCTATTCTCATGTCCCCATAAGAGCTGTGTGTTGGAGTATTTAGGTGTCACTCTGATAATGTTTTCATTTTTCATGCATGTAGGTGATATAAAATTTATCTTCTGTTTTCCATTCCTACACATTTGTGCAACATTCCGATATGTTACCATTTCAGACAGCTGAAAAATGTGCATGTGAGGAAAGGTTGTACTTTCAGTATTTTATTATAGCCAGATTTTGCAGTACAGGCTCACCTCGAGTACTGTGTGCAATTCTGGGCACCACAGTACAAAAAGGACATTAGACTGTTGGAGAGTGTCCATATGAGGGCCACAAAGATAGTGAAAGGCCTAGAGGGGAAGACCTATGAGGAGCAGCTGAGGGCACTAGGCCTTTCCAGCCTGGAGAAGAGGAGGCTTAGGGAGGACCTCACTGCGGTCTACAAGTTCCTTGAGAGCGGGAGGGGAGAGGCAGGTGACCTATTCTCTGTAAACACCAGTGATAGGACCCATGGGAATGGTGTTAAGCTGAGGCAGTGGAAGTTTAGGCTTGACATCAGGAAGAGGTTCTTCACCGAGAGGGTGGTTGCACACTGGAACAGGCTCTCCAATGAAGTAGTCACTTCACCAAGCCTGTCTGAATTTAAAAAGCAATTGGACTGTGCACTTAGTCACATGGTCTAAACTTTTGGGTAGACCTGTGCAGCGCCAGGAGTTGGACTTGATCCTTATGGGTCCCTTCCAACTCGGAATATTCTATGATTCTATGATTCTGTGTTTGGGACTGTAGGATATTTAGGCCTTGTACAAACCAAGACCAAATGCCCCTTGCTAAGGCAGGAAGATTTGCTTCATGATAGCTGCTTCTCTGGTTTTCTACCCACCTCTTGAGTACATGTTGTCCACAGAAAGGTAAAACAAGAACATTGTACTGTAGAGGAAAGTAAAAAATGCTACTCACTTTGCAGTGAGACTTACAGTAGAACACTTCAAAGCCTAAAAGTTCATTTATGAGACCAGAAAAGTTTGAGTTCCAGTCTGCCTTTGCAGGATTATTTTTCATTTACATTAAACCTGAAAATAATAAAAAAAGAAAACTTAAGTTCTGCAGTTTCTTCTTGCTTTGCCCCCACGGTCTGCACACCTGACTGCACAATGCTTTGAGTTTAACTGAAGGAGTTAAAACTTAATTGCAACCGTGTGTTTTAACATGCAGTCCAATGGTCAGGGGACCCTGTGAGACAATGGCTTAAATTACCTGCCACCTCTGTTACAGGAAGTGGACAACAAGCCTCCTCACTCTTCCAAACGTTAAATGTGCTATTGTTTTATTCAGACCTCATTGTGGTCAAGTCAATTTGGTATACCTCAGATCTTTAAATAGGTATTTAATGAACCAAGCAGGTTTGACCATTTCTATTTCTGAATACCACATTAAGCAAACAATAAAAATCACAGCTGTTCAGAACCTGTCTGTTTTTAGAGAAATTGTTTAATAGAATTCAGATTCTTATAATTAAGTAAGGTGGCATCAAGGTTACTGGGCTGAAGCCTTCTGTAGTGAAACCTCTGAATATAAGGTGGACCCTTTTTCCCCCAACACACAAGATAAGTGTTCCAACTCTCCCCTTCCCCAGCATAGGCAATAACTGGTTCTGTTGAATTCTGCAGTCGCAGTCTGCATTTCTTCTTCTCAACTCTGCTCTTATCTCCCAGAATCATCCAATACTCACTAAATCCTGATAGGATCTGTAGTTTGAAGAGTGTGAGAACTGAGTTTCTGTTATGCCTTTGAACATGCACTCAGATGCACATGATGATGATGATCATGTGGAGAGATGCTATCAGTTGTAAACAGATTTCTCAACCACAAAAAGCACAAGACTAAGAGGGGTGGGGGTGATCATTCATACAACATTCTCAAGTGCTTTGTCCTGGTTCAATGACCAGCTGTTGGAGAAAGCTCTAAGAAGAAAAGGCCAAACTACATGTATTCACAGGGGAATTGGATTTACAGGGGAACTGGAAGGATGGCAAACTAGTGGAGACTGACTATTGATGTGATGCAGAATGAAGCTGTTACCACTGTTGGAACAGAGTGAGAGGATAGGCAACGGTTATCATCAGGTTCACAGCTATGAGCAACAAAGGTACACTATTTCTGTCGTATTCAGATCACTTGTACTAACACCAGCAGACATTTCTAAATATTGCCCTTTGGATTTTGTAAAGCACAGCCCACAAATTAAACTACATAAAAAGGTGCTGTAAGCTCAGGGAAAATAGAGCTCATTATTTTGCACTTTTATCGTTATAAGTATAGAGCAGATGATGCCTTGATATTACTACACATTCTGGAGTTACTGAGGTAATAGTTTCCATTACACCTTTAAACACCCACTGTTTATGAGGTAACTTCAAGCCTGGTAAGTAGGGTTCACAGTTACAAGATGCATAAAGCTGCAGGGATGATTACAGCATGTCAGCAGCTGCTGCATTTATCTACAATGGAAAAAGGGAAAGATATATAGCAATGAGTGGCATTCCTCAAGATGCAGAGTCTACATGCACTTTCTTTAGGCCTGAACACATGCCTTGGACCCAGAGTTCAGTGGCTCCTGTATCATGTTTTCCTATGCTTTGCAGCCAAGGCTCAAGGCATGTTACTAAACTTCAGTCCCTCCTATTGGCAGACTCCAAGTAGCTGAGGTGCTTTAGAAAAAGGGCATCTCAACCACAGGGCATTTCAAACTCCACTTTGTGTGTTTCTCAAAAAGTTTGTTTACACCTAAGTCTTCACTAGGCTCCACTTGGAATATTGCATCCAGGTCTGGGGTCCCCAGCCCAAGAAGGCTGTGGACCTGTTACAATGGGTCCAGAGGAGGGCCATGATGATGATCAAAGGGATAGAGAACCTCTCCTA